GTTGACCACTGCTAAAAAGGAAAAGGATCTCTGTAACAGGGAGGGTCACAGCTAGGAGGAGAGAATTCAGTCATATGGATAGGACAGACTGCCTGTACACTGGTCCCTGGGGACATGGGCATGCAGACAGAGGTCCATATCCACCCAGCTCTACAGCTCAGAAGGTTCCTGGTGGGTGGCACAGGTCATGTCCTCTGCTCAGGTATGAGCCAGGACCTTCCCAGGAGAGGGGCAGCCCATGCAGGCAGAAAAACTGGGAGCAAGGTAGGCAGCATGGCTGCAGGAGGGACCACAGAGCTCGAAGCTGTGAGCACAGACCGCAGCATCCTTGGCTAAAAGGGCTCTCCCACACCCCATTCTACAAGAACTACAACCCAGGGCAAGACCTCACCTCTGCCAGCACCAGCCCTGCCACAGACCCATTTTACAACCTTATGGAGAGTTCTGCAATTTGCACAAGCCCTCTCCATATCCACTTCATTGCTCGGGCAACATGCACGTTTGCCACCAGCCTTCACAGCTGTCTCCCACTCTCTGGGGCCAATGTCCTACAGACCAAAGGAGTAACTGCAAAACGAAACACCCCCTTGCCGCCACCACCTCCCCCTCCTCCCCGCCAGCCATGCTCCTCCAGTGAGCACACATGCCATTTATAGCTCCCAGCAGGGCTGCTGGGATGCACGTGCCTCCCATCACATGCCCTGCCACCCTCCCTTCGTGCTGAGCACAAATTACACCTGGCACAGGTAAGACAGAGGTCTGGCCATGCCACACCAGGCTGAGGAAGGGGCAGCAAGACCCTCTGCATGACTGGAGGGACCAGTTAGGCTGAGAACAACCGGCACATAGATCTGACAGCCAGAACCAGGGCAGTCTGCCTGCTCAGCATGAGTGCGCAACCACTGCAGGTACCAGGATCACCATTCTTCATGCTCATGGGCTGCTACATGCTCCCTCCTTCCCGTCAGGCCTCTGGATTGCAGGGCCACATGGAGACCTTTTGCTCCCCAGGCTGCAGGAGAGTCTGCACAGGCAAGAGCTGGCTCATCCCTTACATTGCCATCCTCTCCCTCCCTAGTGTCATCCTGAGGATGCTTTCCAAGGCACTTTTCCCACTTGTGCTGATTGGCACCAGAAATATCTGAGCTTCCTGGGATGGTAATCTCTCACCAAAGCAGTCAGACACACACTGTAGAGCCAAGCCCTGTCCTCAGGCCACCATCACCCCCAGGACAAGTTACCAGCAACATTAGACCTCACTAGCTAAACCAGCACCCAGTGGCAGTTGAAAGCAGCTTAAAACAGGATTTGGGCCACTTGAGACTCCCACTTCATCTTCAGGGCTGTTCTGATTTACACCCCCGCCAGTCATAAAATTCACACTTATAACCCTCTTCTCACACAGCTGTGGGTACAGCACTCAGCACTGTGCCATAAAAGCCTCTTACCCAATTAACCCCATACATTTCTCCAGACAAGCTCCTGCCTGTGCCAGCTCCACTGTTGCATGGGCTCCGCTGCCCTGAGCATCACCCCCAATCCTCCATATCTCCTTTGCAATCCTCCTCCCGGCCACTACAAGCCCTTATCCTTTTCCAGCTCTTCATTCATATTTTAACTGGGGAACTATTAAACAACCTCTACACTCAGCTCTGGGGCTGTGATGGTTTCCATCCTGTTACTGATCTTCTTACCAGCAATACTTCAGCTGCTTTTTTACTGCTGCTGAATACAGGTAGATGCTCTTTTTCTTAACAGCCAGAGCTCTCCTATAGGCAGTAACAACTAGATTGGACGTACTGCACATGTAGAATGAGGTTAGAGCCTTTCATAACATACCCTTTTTTTAAATCAGCAGAGAGGGGTGTTCCTACCCTGCAAACATGAGACCAGGAGTGGGGCTGCTCCATGAGAGTTCACCCTTAGACTCTGGCTAGTCACCCCATTCTCTCACTAACAGATATAGCTCCACAGTACCTGAGCAGAGCAGAGACAGGTCTTGGTAACAGGGTCCATCCACAGGGTAGGCAACGAACAAAGTCCAGTATCCACCTGGTCAGGAGATAGAGCCAAAAAGCAGGACTGGAGAACAAGATTGCAATATATGCCTAGAAGGTAGGGCTAAAGATAAAGCCAAACCAGAAACACCCACACGGTTTCTCAAAACCAAACTGATCCCCTTGGCTTGAGCTTAAAGGCAGCTCAAGAGGGTGGGAGGTCCCAGGTGAGGCCATTTAGTACAATTAATGCTCATTAGCACCCTCGCAGGTGCCTAACACAGCTGCATAAGAGCCTCGGGGCAGTAGGTGGAAGCAGAGCAAATCAAGAACTGCTTCAAGCTGTACGGTGGCTCCGTGCACTCACTGCTGGGGTGCTCAGAGCATGCATATGTGTAAGAGGTACCTGGATAACTTTCTGCCAAGGAAAAACATCAGGGACTGCTGGAAACGCCTGGTATGGAGGTCCTTATGCTTCAGGAATATGTTAGCTGGGACAGCGCATACCTGCTTGCTGTCCTCTTACACAGTGAATGTTCAGTTTTGGCCAAAGCTGGGCGGACCACTCCTCTGACAGAGCTGTTCTGTTCTTGCTGGCCCTGGATAGCACAGGCTGTCTTCTTTTCCCAAGGTTGGCTGGTTGGTTGGTTGTTTTTTTCAGCTGTTCCTTCGATTTGGGCTGAGGCAATTGGATCCCACCTCTGTCAGCTGCCCAAGTCATCTTATTTTCCTGCAGGGGCTCTGATTTCCTGCTGTCCTCCACCACATTTAGCTGGGACTTTATTTGCTCAGCTTGCTTCCAGTTAGTCTGGCCAACATCTGTCCCATCCCCAAGGATACAGAACTTTTTCATGACATCACTCACGAAAATACACAATCCCAACCCCTGTTGTTCTACACCCTTTGGGTCTGGAACTTGTCCTAGCTTTGGTGCCTTTGCATCCAGGTGTTTCCTTGTGGTCACCAGGTCTTGACCTGGTAACCAGGCACTTGAGTCCCCAGGATGTGCTAGTATTAAGTGGAGCACCCCATCCCAACATTGCTCACAGAACCAACCCACTGCAGCCATGTCATTCCCTTCCAGTACACAGAGATACCTGCATGCATGAAGGTGGTAGAGCAAGCATATTACTCCAGAAGTCCTTGGCATCTCTATTCTCTAGCTGTGGCATCACTGAGGTGCTGCTTGGCTAGGCCACCACAAGTGATGGTGCCTGGCTGCACCTCCAGCCCACCCAGGAGCATTTTGAGTGAGCACAGCAATAGCCCTGCTCCTCTGCCTGTCATGTCCAATGTGGGGCAGGAGGGTGGGAGGACAAAGGACCTTTCATGGTATCCAATATGCAGGTGGCCTTTGCCTGCAGCAGACTCTCAGGCTCACTTGCTGGTTGTTGGCTAATGCTGCACAAGTGCCCTTATTGGCCCCTCACCTCCCAGACAGTCTCTGGGGAAAAGTACTAATGTCCAGGATGGAGCAGGTGACCCCTGCTGAGGGATGCCATGAGATGCTGCCACATAGCAATGCTAGTCCAGCTAGAAGGATCAACTGACTCTTATCAAAAGGCTCTGATATGATCTATCCACAGGTGCCCAAGGAAGCAGTTGCAGAAGCACCTGGGAGTATTTGTGGGGCAAGATGTGCTCTAGAGGTAAAGGAATACACACATTGCAAGAAATGAGCCCACTTCATGCTCCAGCATCTCTGTAGCCTCTCTCAGTAGCAGAAGTGGGAAGGGAATCCTGGGCATTTCTGGTCCACCCCTGCTTAAAGCAGAGCCAACTAGACTGGGTTGTTCAGGGCTTACCTGGTGTAGATTTGATTATTTCTCATGATGGAGATCCCACAGCTCCTCTGGGACTGTCTCAGACCTTTACCATCCTTGGTGGGGAGACGTGGGGGGAGCCTATTAGCTCCTCAGTCCTGTAAGAAGCAGCAGATGAACTCTCCTGTGTGAAAACACAACCAAGTGCTGGCTGCAAAGCTGTCCCAGGCTGCAGGCAAGGTACACAAACCAATTACAAAGGAGAAGAGTCACTATGGAAGCTTGGCTACCTGAACTGAGGGGAGCCTCTCAACATGTCCATAAGTAGTTGCTTTCAGGGAGTCTGAGAGGGACATTTGCTCCTGAAACACGTCCCTCTTGGAAAGCAACTTATGACTACTCAGAGAGACAAGCACTGAAGCAAAGTGCTCTCTCCAGCCACAACAGGCTGGGAAAGGCATCTCAGATCCAGCTGGGAAGGGGGAAAAAGGGTTAAACACAGGAGACAGATGTCTGAGGAATGGCCCCCAGCCCTTCCCAGGAACCACATGGAGGAAAACAGTCAAACAGCCATCTGACAGCAGTGTCTTACAAAGACAAAGAAACAACAAAACAAAACAAAAAAAAAAAAAAGCCTTCTTTATTGAGAGCAGCACATAAAAACCCAACAAAACCCAACCCTTCGTGTCTGTGGTACCCTCCGCTCAAGCAAACAAACTAACCCACTCTAGGCTGCATTCCAGTAACAGAAATACTATGGAAGGGAGGAGTCGGTGCTCTGGAAGAGGGAAACAGGGTACGCTGCCCAGAGTCTTTGTACAAAAAAAAGGCACAGGGTAGTTGGGGAAGGTAGTGAGCTCCTTCATATGCCAGGCACTTCGTGTTCCTGCTGGCTGGCCTGTACCCACAGGGCGCAGGGGAGGCAGGGATGCCTGGATGGACACATGGAGGGACTAGGCCAGCAGGTATGCCGGTGGTGAGCAGGGACACAGAGCCTGGTGCTGGAGCCCAGCTCTCACCAGGTGAGGAGGAGCCATGCTCCATCCATGCCAGCAGCTCAAGGGCGCTGGGCTGGGCAGGCGGAGAGCAAGAGGCAGCAAGGGCTGTCTTTTGGGACCAGTGGAGGAGAGGGGTGGCGGGACTGGGGTACACTGGCTTGTGCTTTGAGTCCAGCAGCTGCTGGTGCCGAGCTGTTCACTGGCGCATCGGGGTCAGGCTCAGCGAGGGGCCGCAGGAGTGCCAGGGGCTCCCCAGGCACCTACAGACCCCCGTCCACCCCACTGCGTCCTTCCCCAGCGAGGGCCGAGGATGCTCAGGCTTTGCTGTCAGCTGGGCTGTCCCCCAGGGCAGTGGCAAGCTCGCTGAAGGAGGGTCGATCCTTCGGGCTGGGGGCCCAGCAGCGCTGCATCAGCTTGGCGAGGCGGGAAGGGCAGCCCTCGGGGTGCGTGAGCTTCGTCTTTCCTGACTGCAGACCTGACATGAAAGCAAAATCCAAAGGGCTGTTGGGAAGAGGCATGATCCTCTCCACAGTGTGGAAGGAGGGCTGGAACAGCCTCCCCAGCCAGACCAGCTCCATGTCGAGACGAGGGACATCACACAGCCGTGCCACAATAGGTTACAATGCCAAGGACCAGCACAAGGTACTCCACATACCTGCTAGGACCTCATCATCTGCCAGCGGGGTATAGGGCATCTCCCCATGCGTGAAGACCTCCCACATGAGCACCCCAAAGGACCACACGTCTGACTTGGTGGAGAACTCGTCTTCCAGCACAGCTTCAGGGGGCATCCAGCGCAGCGGGATCCAGGCCTGGCGGAAGTGGTAGTACTCGCTGTGGGCAGAATAGGCAGACATTGAGACTGGTGCCATCCCACCTCTCCCATTCCCCTGCCAGGCTCCGATGCTGACCTGTTGTACACATCCTTGCTGAGGCTCAGGGATGAGACCTTGACCTGCCGCTGGGCACTGACCAGGCAGTTTCTGGCTGCCAAGTCCCGGTGCACGAACCTGCTGTTGGAGAGATGCTCCATGCCCAGGGCTACCTGTGTGCAGAGAGACACCTGACCCCAGAGAGATGTGAGTGCTGGCTGCCCTCCTCAGGGTCCCCAGCCCCACAGCACTTCCAGATCTGCAGTATCACCTTATGTTTGGTGGTGAGGGGCTGTGGCTTCAGAGACTCATCTTTGCTCTTGGAGATCCTCAAGAACTGCTTCAGGTCCCCCTGGAGACAGACAGAAACTTAGAGGCAGCACCTCTCTCTGCTGCCAACCACATATGTCCCTGCAGCAGCTGGATGTGACACTGATCCGTTATCTCCTGGGCCATGGTCCCTCCTGTCCTCCTGGTCCCGGCCCTGTAGGGCAAGCCTTCTGGGCCTCAATTGGCTAAGATCAAGGCAAGCAGGCCTGATGTTCCCAGGTTTTTCATGCCCCAAATAGACTTCTCTCCCATGAGCTCCAGGTTCCCCATAGTAGCCCTTAAAATTCACAGCCATTCTGCAGCAGCATGGAGTCCCACAGCTTAATTTATTCAGCTGAGTCCTGGGCATAAACCAGAAACCAGGAGGATATGGAAGGGGACAAAGTCACCTCCAGAACTTGCAGCAGACACCCATTCCCCTTGAGAGTCTTCCACACGTTAGGAATAACGGTAAGCTCAGCCTGGTCTCAGTGCACCTTGCCTGCCCTGTGCTGCCATCCTGGATCATGTGACTCTTGCAAGCCCCTTGCCCATTCGTTGTCCACCCCTCCTCCTCCTCAATGCAGCACTGCTGGCAAGGGCCTTACCAAGTCCACATACTCCAGGACCATGTAGTGTGGCTCTGCCTCACGGCACAGCCCCAGCAGCCGCACCACATTGGAGTGGTTCAGTTTCCCAAACATCTCTGCCTCTCGCCGGAAGTCCAGCTGCAGCTGCTCATCCCTTGTCTGCAGGCTCTTCACCAGCACCAGCGCTTCACCCTCACCATCCTCAGCACCTTTTGCCTTGGCCAGGAACACTTCACCAAACTCCCCCCTGCCTGGAAGTGCAGAGCAGCACATGGGAAGACAGCATGTGTTAGGACAGCATATGTGCGGCTGCAGGGCCCCGTGTATCCCAGCACATCCAGTTTTCTGGCTAGGACATGCTGGGGTTTCAGCCACAGGTTTCTTGCTGGAGTGGGGTCAGGGCCAGAGTGGCCCAGCATACCCAGGGTTGTGATTGTCTGCAGGTTGGAACGTGGAAAGTGCATCTTGTCAGCAGCACTGTGCCGCTTGCTGGCCCCAGAGCTGCTGCCCAGGTTGGTTAAGGCCACTTCTTCCTGGATCTCTGCTGTCATCTGCCCATTCTGCAGCAAAGCACCACCTGCAAGCAAAGCACAAATGGCTTCAGCATCCTGTCAGGACGCACAGAGAATGTCAAGCTGGGGATCAGCCCCTTCTGAGGCTGACACTCCAAGCACCCACAACTGACTCCAAGTACCGCAGCCTGATGTCTAGCCCCAGGCAACAGCGTGGCCTCCACACAGTTGTTCCCTCTGGTCTCAGGTCTGGCCCCATCTCTGGCAGCCCTGCAGCCACCCTTGAAATCAGATGCTGAGCAATGGCTTTGGTCCCAGAGCAAACCAGCCCCATCTGGCCTTGTCCATCCCAGGGCGCTCAGTCATCCCAAAGGGGTGGCTACATCCAAACTACCATTGACAAAACTCTGCAGAACAGCAGCAGGAGATTGGATGTGTGAGGCAGAAACAGAGCAAAGAGGACCCTGTTCACTATAGCCAGAGTCTCGTGATGCCCAAGAGACTTTCAAGTTGATCTGGCATTGGCTGCTGCAGCCTGACCCCTGCTCCTTGCTCACTTCCCAGCATTCTAGCAATGCTCACGGCCTTGATAATCTTGAGCCTTTCAGACCAGATCAGCCTGTAGTTTTCTTTACTGCCTGGGTGAGAGCAGTGCTAGGAAACAGTGTCCTTGCAATCAACTCCTGCAAACTTTCTGCTCAGCAACTCAACTAGAAATTTTCCTGGCACAGATAGAAGCCAGTGAACAGGACAAAACATTATTACCTTAAGAAAGTAGAGAACCCTGCAATTTACAGGCAGCTTGTAGGGGAAAGACTGTAGAGATAGCAAACCTTGATTTTGAATGCATTTACTGCTTGTATCAGACTTTGCACCAGGAAGAAGCACCTTCCATAAGGCAGGAGTTTGAATGTAAAGCAGGGCACAGCACCAAGCTAAGGTGCCCGACACATGCGCAGGAACACCCTGCATTACTGCGCACACTCCATTTCAACTAGTCCAGGGTAAGCATTAAGAAAACCCCTGCCACGCAAAAGGATTTAATCACAAATTAAGTGTTGACTCAGCATGAGGTAACTCCAACAGAAATCTCACTCCCTATAATTTCCATCAAGGGTCATTGTACAGCAGCATGTGTACATGCATGCTTACAATGCATGCATACAGGAGAGGTACCAGCCCACCCCGAGCAGGCCTGGCCACAATGACAGGGGCTTTGTCACAGGTAGGCTTGGAGCTGTGAAGGCTGATACAAATTGACTTAAGAGCCATGGCTACTGACAGCTGTCATCTCTCACACACTGCAGAAGACCATAGTGAAAAAACACCATCTACCCTATAAATCAAAGCTCGACACTTCTTACACTCTCTGGTTTTACACTAATTATTAGCAAGACTGTTTGACCCTGTGCTGTCTGCACTCATGACTGATAGCATTTCAAGACTACAGCTTGAAGCCAAGACGATAATACAAGAGAACTGCTGCAACTGTGCCAAGAAAACACAAGAGGCTGTAGAGTGAGCATGCTGCCACTGAGAGACAGCACCAGCAAGCAGCAACAACAGACACTTCTGAGAACAAACATCCCTCTGTTTCACAGAGGCTTGACAAGATAGTTGATAACAAAGGGACTGCAAAAATTATCAGGAAGTTTAGGCTGCAGGATATATGAATTAGAGGGTAATCAAGTGTAGAGAAGCTGCCTTCTTTGCATACCTGCCTACAACACCTTAGCATCTTCTGGAGAAAGAGACACAGCCACGCTACCCTGGAGAAATTACCACGTGCCAACACAGAAATAAAATGCTCCCATCAATCCCCACAGCCCTTAACCTCCCCAAATGCCATATTTGTATTCACCCCAAAAAAGCAGAACAGTCAGAGGGACTCTGAGAGCAAGCACCCTTGTTACACATGATGTGGCACACCAAGGAAGTGGCCTTGGAAGATGACCGACTTGTTAGGAGTGCATTGATCCATAGGAAATCCATAGGAAGGATCCACTGCAAATCCATAGGAAGGTCAAATCTGTCTGGATCCTCAGGAAAAGTCAGCTGGTGGCCAGACAAGGAGTACTTATCGGGTAGGTGCTGAGATACTTCAGGTCACCCAGCTAAAGAGGCACCAAATCAAAAGGAGGAAGAGAGACACATCTTTGAAGACCATGGTGAAGGAGGTGACTCCACTGGAGCTGACAGCAAACAAATCACTTCTCCAGAGAGGCTATGGAAGTACCAAAAAGGAGTGTAGACATCTGGGCAGCTCGGTCTGCTTGTAGCAGTGAGGATGCATCTGTCTGACAGATAAGCTGTTTCCAAATGAAGGGGATAAGAAGAGGCAAACTCTGGCAGAATAAAAACAAAAACATAATAAAGATAAGCCGAAATAAAAACCTGAAACCATCTCAAAAGAGATTCAAACAAATCCTTTCACAGGAAGAGGATGCTGGCCAGAGTCTGTTGGCACAAGTGAGCTGCCAACCTGTCCAACAGGAAGAGCTCACAGTGGTGACAGCAGCAGAGCATAAAGCTGCAGAGATGCTCCCGAATTCCTGCTCCCAGGAGGTTACCAACCGCCA